TCTTCCCCTGCCCACCCCAAGCTAAGCTGGGGTCTCGCCGGCTTTGACCAACAGCGTGGGTTTGTTTTGCAACAGCCAGGGACACAGCAGAAGCAGGGACACCTCCCCCTTCAGTCCCTCCATCCTTCCTCAAGCAGAGAGCTTGAGCAACGTTTAAAAACCCCACCACCTGAAATAGCCCGAGCTGCTGGAGATGTATAAATAGTGACATAAATGCCAGTTTCATTAGGAGAAGGCAGAGCTCACGAGGAGTTTAAGTACAAGGAGATAACGAGTCGCACTCCGCAAGGCTGGCGCTGCAGGAGCCTTCAGGGTGAGTTTGTTTTACGAAGTTACAAACTAAACGAACCCAGACCCGGGTCCGTAACCTGCAGCCCCCGGTAGCACCGAGGATGGAGACCTGGAGGGGGGCAACGAGCAGAGCACAGGATCCCCCCCAAAGCCAGACACTCCTGTGCAGGGAGGGGCGAGGGGACCCAGCAAACCTATCGGCGCTAATTAAGCCTCGCAAAGCAGGAGAGCTCATTTGAATGTCGGAGCTATTTACATCTTTGATAGAAGTGCAAACGCTTTATGGCAAAAACTTAAATATGGTAATTAAGTATGAAACTCCTCACAGCTGTTTACAATTTAAGCTGTCACTTCTGAATCAAGTTTAATAGACCCAGTTACCGTTGAGAATTACCCATGAACTAAAAATATGGACTAATTATACGCCCATGACTGAGTGTACAGCCAGGGACCCTGCCCCGGGGCAGGGACGGTGCCTGGTCTGGGAGCAGGGCATCACCTCACCAACACGACATTCATGTGGTTTATGAACAAGGAAAAAGAAAATAACTATTTCTAGTTTTTGCCACAAAAGGCCTTGGAGAACTTTATTTGGAGGGAGACGCGCCGAGCTGATGTACCACTAAGATAATTCTTTCAGCACTGGAGAGATTTAAATTCTAATTTGCTGAGCGAGCCTTATCGTCGCCGTGCAAGGACGGAAGCACACGCTGCAGAAACGACAGACAACTTGTAGCTTCCATTATTCTCTCCCCGGAAAAAAAAAATAATTAAAAGAAATAGCTGGGGAAAGCACAGAATATTAACAGAGCTGTGGAGGACCCAGGACTCGCCACGCCAGGAGCCAGGAACAGCTCTCGGGACATTTGTTTCCCTGCGGATTTGGGAGATCCCATTCTCAGCTTGGGCCCTGCAACAGGCACCAAGGGAAGGATTTCTGGGGGCAGAGGATCTGACTTGCCCTTCCTCTCCCCTCCTGCTATGGGCAAGGGGCTCAGCCCCAGCTCTGGCTCTACTGAAGAGACCCCCAGGGC